ACGCGGGCTCCCTCTCGCCGGGCCCCTCGGGCACGGGCTCCATCTCGCCCGACTCCAAGGGCGCGGGTTCGTCTCGCCAGACCCCTCGGGCGTGGGCTCTGTCTCGCCCAACGGGGATCCATACCGCCTCCAACCACTACGGATCTAATAGTACGACCCTAGGGTCAAACTTCTGACACCGGGAGGGAAGCGAGCACATCTCGACGTGACCCATGGCCACGCCCAGGGGTTGGCATCACCGACAGTGATGGTTGCGTGGGTGCTATGCTGCCTAATCCCCGTACGGCCGCTGACAGGCACGTCGGTTAACCACACAGTCCGCCGGGACGGGATGGGATGCCACGACCAGCTGATGACATCGAGGCATGGCACCAGTGGTGAATAGGAGCCCGACATGGAGCCGTCCCTGTCACCATCTACAGCATCAGCGGACCCACATGAAGGAGAAGAAGGACACGGCGGTCCTAGAGGGCTTCTTCTCCTCAATTTTCTCCTCTCTCTCTCTCTCTCTCTCCTCTTTTTCTGACGTAACCTGCATCTTCCCCTTCTTCTATAAAAGGAGGAACACAACGCAACATAAGGGAGAGAGAGGCATGAGCACATGGCTGAACAAGCTCAACAAGACTCAACTCCGTTCGATCTTTTCACCAGAGACTTAGGACCTTCTCCCTCTCTCTTCTGTTTGTAACCCCTACTATAAACTAGTGCCGGTAACACGAGCAGCAGCAGACTAGACATAGGGACATTCCACTCGAACCAGTATAAATCTTTGTGTCCTCCGAGCACACCATCCGAGCCAGACGCGCAAACTAGAAATTTACTAGCCGGTGATCCGAAACACCGACAATGTGGTTCCAGCGCAACATCTTCTTACTGCTTGGGAGAATGGAGGCTCACCGGCGTGTAGAGTTCACCGATGTAGAGAAGAGAAACCTTGCATCGATCGCGCCAGTCATGCAGAATGCGTCGGACTCCACGGCTGCGGTAACCACCCACAACACTGCATCCGTGTCGCCCGAAACGAGGGCGTACGAAGAGGTCCCGTCTGATTCTGGTGCCGGCGCCGGCGAGAATTTTAAGCGCTTCCGCGGAGCAAGGAGAGGCTGGGCACACGGAGGGAGGCCTCGAGGAACTCCGTGAGGACGCGCTCATCGGTGGTGGCGGAGCGCATCCCAGCGTCGTGCGGATCAGGGTCGGCGTCGGCGCCGGGCCACGGGGGCAGATGCGGGGCCCTGGACATCGCCGTCATGCCTGAGATGAGAGGGTGGGTGGGAGGGGATAGGGAGACCTTCGAACGGGGAGATCATGCTCTGCTCAGTCTGCTAGGTCAGTGGTGCCTTGCTCGTTGCCACATTTGCTTGCTGGACTGGTATGGGATACGTGGTTGCGTGGGGGTCACTGGGTTGGCGTCGCGGCCCACGAATGGGAGCATCCGGACGGACAGACGTCTTGTTCCAAGCATTACCGTATGTATCCTCCTCAACGGCAAATGTGCTCAGACCTTTGCACCAAGGGTACATGAGCATAATTTTTTTTTTTAAATATGGCACGGTTTTTTGCTGGCCCATGGAACACGTTGAGTTCTATGGGTGGGCTTAGGCTGCCGTTTGTTGGGCAAAGAAAAAAACCACATTAAGGCCCATTTGGCCCCACACTAGAGCCTATGCATGGGTGGCAATCTAGTCTTAGAATTGATTGTCACTAGAGTGTCAGGTTTCTTTCTCTTAGGCTTTGTGTTTAGCCAGAAGCCAGAAGTGAATTCATTTTTATTGTATCAACTTGATGTAATGACCGTGAATTAATAAAGCCCTTCCTTTATAAAAAAAAGAGCCTATGCATGGCTTACCCATGGCCTAAGACTATGCTTGGTTGCAAAGTATTTTGTGTTGTTTTGGAAAAAATATTATGATTTTGTGAAATACTTTGGTTTGAAAATCACAACGTGTTTAGATGTAGCGGTTTTTGTAACTTTGAAAATATGGTATTGCTAAAACTAAATTTTTTTAGAGCTTTAGAAACTCTACTCTAAACGTATTTTTCTAATCACAGGTTTAAAACTAAAATTTCTTGCTACGGTTTCTAAAAACCACATCATCCGAACATGATTGCATAGTGGGATTTTAGGGCTACGTCCAAATGACCATTTTATTATTTTGGGCTCTAAACAAACTAGGGTTTTTTTATTGGCTTGGCCCATGCTCGGATCTAGAGTGGCTTGTCAATGATATTGGCTAACTTGACTTAACTACATGATTAGACTGTGGGCACAGATGTCAAATGAGTGTGCCTTAACTGGTTAAGTTTTTTTTTTTTGAACCTATTCATCAAGGTTTGAATCATTTACTTAGCATAGGTACGGTGCTTGTATTTATGTTATTTCTTTTATAGACAATATACTCGTTAATAGCAAGCGCATGTGGCAACTTCACCAACACCAAGATTTATTGAACCAATTCTCTGATGCATTTAGAGGGTATGTTATGCATGTATATATTCATAGGGTGAGCATGAAAGACTATGGTGGATCTAATGTTATTGTGTTACCAAACATAGCAGCACCTAAAACTGATGGTCGAAAAATTGTAACAAAAATATTGATAGACATATGTTCACAAAAACTAAGCTTGAACAAAAATTTGCGTGAAACAAATAATGATGGATAAAGAATGCAATCATTTGTGATGTGGAATTTGAGCTTAAACAAAGATTGTTAAATATATAGACGGGAGTATGGAACATGTCACAAAAGTTGAGATGTGCCCACTACGATCATTTTTTAAAACCCACACGAAAAAAATGGTATAACACTCCTTGTTCTGCGATCAGTGCTGCGAAACCCTGAAGCATCTGCTGCTTGGGTGCGTCTACACCAAAACTGTGGTCGGCAGTACTCGGGGAGCTCAATTTACAGCACACTATCGTCATTCGGCATGACAATATCTTTGCCTGGTGGATGCGCGAGAGGAAGTCGGCGCCGAAGATTGCCAGGGCCGGCTTTGACTCCTTGTTCTTCCTGATTAGCTGGTCCATTTGGAAAGAACGCAGTGCCAAATCGTTCGGCAAACCAGGAACACCTCCGATGAGTCTGGACGTTCGCTGGTTACAGGTCGCTGAGCTCGCTGTCGACGCTCATGTAGTTCTTGGGTACTCCCACAACGTGTCACGAGACTGGTTTGTAATATCGCAAAACGCTATTTCAATGCGCGGCAACTGATGGTAATTCTCATTACCTTTAGTGGGTCGTGGTTGTAACAAAAAATTCTACTTCCTGCAATAGCACGGTCTCGAAAAAAAATGGTAAATCCGGAATGCATGTAGCTGTGCATCAGAGAACTTTCTAATGTTTATGTCCTCTAGCGCAGGTGTGGCTGACATTTGTCACTTTTGTATGGATTTTTCCAATAGTAATTTTACACCTAAGTTTCGAATTTTTTTAAATTCTAATACTTTTTGGGGTCTTCACATTTATACGGGAGAAATGGTTCCACGTAATAGTTTCCTTACCAAATGGCATCAGTCTGTCTCAAAAACTAAAAGTAATTTTGACTTTTATTAACAAAGAACGGAAGTCATTTTCGGAGTTACATTCTCCGTACACAAAAAATGCAATTCTCATTTTTGGAGGAATCAAATAGTTTAAAATTTAATTAAATTTATATAAAAAAATACTAGCATTCATGATATAAAATAAATATTGTTAGATTAGCTATTATAGAATATATTTTTATAATAATTTTTTTAAAACATAAATATTATAGAATATATTTTTATAATAATTTTTTAAAATATAAAGACTAATATTATTTACTCTAAAATTGGTCAAACATTGCTTTTGACTAGTACGGGGTTTTTCTTTTTGACAGGGCAGTGTTTGTTTATCCAGTGACTAAAATTTAGGAGGTGTGTTAGGAGGATGTTGTATGGAGTGTTCGGATATTAATAAAAAAACAAATTATATAATCCGTCAGTACTCCACGAGACGAATTTTTTAAACCTAATTAATCCGCCATTAGCACATGTTTACTGTAGCACCACATTGTCAAATCATGAACTAATTAGGCTTAAAAGATTCATCTCGTAAATTAGTCTTAAACTATGCAATTATTTTTATAATTAGTCTATATTTAATACTTCATACATGTGTCACATATTTGATGAGACAACGACTAAAATTTACGAGAGGACCAAACACCACCCTATTTTGACTGGGAAGACAAGTGCCGTGCCGTGAATACGAGGAGACTGGCTGCATCAAATCACAAGAGTGACAGAGCGTCAGAGCGCCGGTGAAGACTTGCTTGCGATTTGGGAAGTGACGCGCGGAGCGGGGGAGGCGTGTTCGCGGATCCGCAGTACTCCTTCGCCGTGCTCGGTGCTCCCGTCGTTGGCTCGCCGAGGTAGGCAATCCTCCTGACTCGTGTCCTACCTCTCCGTTACGATCTCTTGCTCCGATGCTACCAGCATGGACGTAGGTGGAGCTCCATCTTTCTCGCGCGGTCCCCCTCCGTTCTCACTTCAGTAGTAGGTCGATGTTTTTTTTTTTCCATTTCTCCAGTAGCGGCGCTGCCGTTTCACCGTTTCGCCGAACACCTTACGGGCATCGGGCCAAGACAAATCCTGGGTAGTTGTTAGAAACTTAGAATCATGATTCATGAGTGTCATGGATCGAAGGGTAACAGTAGCCATGACTCATGCTTCATTGTTTCTTGGTGAATTTGATCTCGACAGCCATACCTAGTTCTTGGCTTTGCAGGTGCAAAAAATAAAATTCCTAATCGGGTAGCAGAACTTTTTAAAAATCGGACAGCAGAACTTTTTCTTGATTACCTCGTCACTCTGGTTACTCCGTTCTTTCATTCTGCACGTGTTTTGACTGACTTGATATTTATTTACTTTCCCAATTATCAGACCTGTGTGTGAAATGTGAATACTGCTCAGGAAGATAGGTGTGAAAGGTATCTGACCCAACAAGTGATCGTTTTTTAGCAAGCGGAGAAAATATGGCAGATTCCCTGTTTGTGGTTCTAAAAAAAATTGCTCTTTCTCTGGGAGAAGAGGCACTGGGGAAGATTGGCACAGAGATGGTGGTCCAAGTAGCGCCGATCATGACAGATTTTGAGCAGAGCATGAAGCAAATCGAGGGCGAACTTTTGGTTCTGCAGGCCTTTATTGGCCAGGTTAGTGCACAGAGAGTGGGTGACAAGGCTTTTGATGCATGGTTGGACCAAGTTAGAGATGTTGCCCATGAGGTGGAAGATATCATTGATGAGTATGCTTACCTTACTTCGCAAGCAGCATTGGATACAAGCAGCTTCTTCAAAAGGAAGTTCCATCAGATCAAAAACTTTGTGGCATGGCAGAGGTTCCCTAGCCAGATCAGTCAAGTAGAGGCTCGAATTCAGAGGCTAACGGAAATGAGGAATCGATATGACCTCTCAGTAGGTAAACAAGGCAAGAGTAGCAATTTACAGCTTACCAATCAGCTTTGCATGTCAGATTCTGCTTACCTAACTGATCACTCTGAGATAGTTGGAAATGTTGATGAAATTGGAAGGTTGACTGAGTGGTTACTTGAAGAGAGACAAGACCGAACTCTGATAGCCATATTTGGTATGGGGGGTTTAGGTAAAACTACTATCGCAAGCACTGTCTACAAGGATCAAAAGATCAAAACATCTTTTGATTGCCACGCCTGGGTTGTTGTATCTCAGACCTATCAGGTTGAAAAACTACTAAGAGAAATTATAAATCAGCTAATAGGTGAAAGAGCAAGCATGCCACGTGGTGTCATGACCATGAGTCGCATGAGATTAGTTGAGGTAATACAAAGCCATTTGCAGGACAGGAAATATCTCATTGTCTTAGATGATGTATGGGACAAAGATGCTTGGTTATTTTTGAACTATGCATTTGTCAGAAACAGTTGTGGAAGCAAAGTGCTTATAACAACCCGGAGAAAAGATGTGTCTTCTTTGTCAGAGGACAGCTATGTCATTGAACTCAAAACCCTTAAACATGCTGACTCTTGGGAACTGTTTTGTAAAAAGGCATTTCGTGCTTCAAAAGATAACATATGTCCTGAAACTATAAGGTCTTGGGCAAACAAAATTGTTGCAAAGTGTCAAGGATTGCCACTTGCCATTGTAACCATTGGAAGTATTATGTCATACCGTGGCTTGGAGGAACAGGAGTGGGCTTTTTTCTACAACCAACTTAGCTGGCAACTAGCTAACAATCCAGAGCTCAGTTGGGTTTTTAATGTATTAAATCTGAGCTTGAATGATCTTCCATGCTATCTGAGGAGCTGCTTTCTGTACTGCAGCCTCTTTCCCGAAGATTACAAGATTACAAGAAAACTTATTTCCAAGCTATGGATAGCGGAAGGTCTTGTGGAAGATAGAGGAGACGGAACAACAATGGAGGAAGTTGCTGAGTGTTACCTTATGGAGCTCACTCAACGCTCTCTTCTTCAGGTCACAGAAAGGAAAGCATGTGGAAGAGCTAGAACATTTCTGATGCATGATCTTGTGCGAGAGGTAACATCAATCATTGCTAAAAAGGAGAAGTTCGGTATTGCACATGGTGGTGCTGGTACAACCCAAGTTGCCCATGGAGCTCGCCGCTTATGCGTCCAAAGGGGTGCACAGACCTTGAATTCTTTCAGTAGCTCACGGCTCCGTTCATTCATTTTGTTTGACACCGAAGTACCATGTTCTTGGGTTCATGATATTTTATCACGTTTCAGACTACTGAGGGTCCTATGCCTAAGATTTGTCAATATTGAACAAGTGCCAGACGTGGTCACAGAACTGTATAACTTGCGTTATATAGATTTCTCATACACAAAAGTGAAGATGATACCAGCATCATTTAGAAAACTTGTTAACCTACAAGTTTTGGATCTCAGATGCACCTATGTAGAGGACTTGCCAATGGAAATAACTATGCTAACTAATTTACGGCATTTACATGTGTTTTTAGTCCATGATCTTCAATTGAGATCATTGAATTGCCTCAGTGCTACAAAAATTCCTGGTAATATTTGTCATCTAAAGAATCTACAAGCTTTGCAGGTTGTTTCAGCCAATAAAGATTTGGTTTCACAGCTGGGGAACTTACAATTACTGAGAAGTTTGGCTATTGCGGAAATGCGACAAAGCTACATTGCAGAGTTATGGAACTCACTGACAAAGATGCCTAACCTGAACAGACTACTTATTTCCATGTGCAATGTGAAGGAGACTCTTGACTTGAAAACGCTAAAGCCGTTGCCAAATCTGACGTTATTCGTCCTGTCAGGAAAGTTGGAGGGAGGCTTGCTCCCATCAATATTTTCTGTGAAATTAAAGGTGTTAAAATTGGACTGGTCTAGTCTGAAGAAGGATCCTGTTAGCTCTTTTTCTCAAATGTTAAATCTTGTTGATCTATTGCTCACTGGAGCATATGCTGGGGAACAGCTAACTTTTTGCACTACATGGTTCCCCAATCTCAAATCTCTGCAATTAGCTGACATGGAACATCTTAGTTGGATTGAGATAGAGGATGGAACAATGATGAATCTACATGTTTTGTTACTTGCTGGTTTAAGGAATCTAAAGGCTGTACCTGAGGGCATCAAGTACATCAGGACACTCCATGAGATGTTTCTGACAGATATGTCAAATGAGTTCATAATAAGACTGCATGGAAGTGACAATCACATTGTTCAACACATACCCAACATCAATAAGTTTGACTCTTCTGATTCTCAAGCAGGTAAGTTCCATATGAAATAACTAATATAATTGTCATAGGGCGCTAAAATAGATGTAAACCAAGACAGGTCAATTAGAAAAAGATGAGACAAAAAACATCATATAAAGGGAAACTATTTGCAAATCTTATATTAGTAAAGTAGCTCTAGAAATTGTGTTTCGCCTCTTCTCCATAGTACTAGTATTATTTACACAGCTTAACAAATGCTGATCTTTTTTGCAGTAAATAACGCCATTTATCTGCCGTGGCTCGCCAAGAAATTTGGTCCAGGTGCAATTAAGTATGCCTCTATAAACTGTGGCCCATCTGGCTCTTGATGGTTCAGTGGGAGTTGTCTGCAAAAATGCCAATGCCAGTGATTTGAAGTCTAAAGAGTGAACAATATTCAGTTGCCCCAAGCTTTGCCTGTGCATGCTTTATTTTCTATGACACAGGGCACAGAGGTCGGAGATGGGGCAAATACCTTATTCTGGACAGACATATGGCTGCATGGGCAAAGAATTGCTGATGTTGCTCGCCATCTGTTTGCTCTAGTTTCCAAGCGCAGAGTCAACACAAGAACAGTCCTTTTTTTTTAGAAAGGCGGCAAGAGCTTTGCCGGATTTTTATTAGACGATAGAAAGCGGAAACAAAATTACAAAAAAAAATACAAGAACAGTCCTGGATGCTTTGAGTAACACATGGGTAATAGACTTGCAAGGAGATTTGACGAAGTTATTGGAGAACACCTTGCGCTTTGGGACCTTATCTCTGATTTTGCGCTGCATCCTGGAGTGGATGATGCCCATGTCTGGAAGCTCTCCTGCCTCTCCACTTCAGGCCAGTACTCAGCTAAGTCAGCCTATTTAGGTTTCTTCCAAGGATCTATCTCGTTTGGCCCATGGGAACGCATATGGAAGTCTTGATCATCACTCGCCAGGCAAATGTCGGTTCTTCATGTGGCTTGTAATGCATAATAGATGCTGTACGGCTGATCGGTTGTCACGAAGAGGTCTTCCCCACCCCACTAGCTGCCCTCTTTGCGATCAGGAGGAAGAGACAATTCAGCACTTGCTGCTCTCATGTGTCTTTGCCAGGCAATTTTGGTTCTCCTTCCTCCTCTCAGTGGGTCTGCAGGAGCTTGCACCGCAGACGGATGACAGGTCCTTTGATGGTTGGTAGGATAGAATAAGCCACTAGGTGGATGGGATGGTTTAGCCTGAAAAGGTCTTAACTCTATCATTATCCTAGGGGCTTGGATTATTTGGAATCATCGGAACCGCTATGTTTTTTATGGCGCATCTGCTAACTTAGCTAGAGCAATCCGTCTTGCTAAGGAGGAAATGCGTCTTTGGCATCTCACCGGTGCCCGAGGTATTTCTTACCTTGTGGCTAACACTGCGGAGGAGCCATAGGTTTTTCTGGAAGCGGTGGTCATGGTCGTTGGTGTTTGACAAATCCATAGGTGTGGTGGCCAAGTTTTTCGAGGGTGTGTGCGTGTGCATGTGTGGGTATGTTGTAAGGGCTCTTACCCCCTTTCTTCTTAATATAATGATACACAACTCTCTTGTTTGTTCGAAAAAAAAGAGTGAACAACTCTGTTTTTTTTCTTAATATAATGATACACAACTCTGTTTTTTTTTTTTTTTGCAAAATATGTTCATCACTAGAGTCATCTGACAAGTAGAGCATTTTTTTTAGGGTCCAAGTAGAGCATTTCAGTGGTCACATATTATAGCTTGCGTACTGTACATGAGTCAGGCCGCACCTGAGAGTGTTGAAGCATAATTTCCATTTTACTACTCCTAAACACGTCAATTTGTACAAAATATGTACTGTAAATTGTTATACTTACCGATTACCATTGCTGTACTCAGATCCAGAGTCCTCCCTGTTTTCCTGTGCTGTCAGGGAGATAATGAAAAATGTTAGGAACATCATTTGGGTAGGAAGGGTTGCTTTAGGAAATGGATAGAGTGCATCCAAACAAGCCGTTTGAGATTTTTTCCAGGAATTGAGCTTGAACTTAGTATTGTAAAGGATTTTGATACTTGACCGGTTACCCCTCAATAGGATCCTGCCATGCTGCTGGAGTGCTGGGGAAGGTAGAAATCCCGAAAACTATCGTGCGATTCCGAGACCTGCAACTGTAATGGATTTTCAGGAATAATAGCCGGTCTGCGTGCCGGAACCCGGAAACATACATGAAGATGCATCTCAGTTCACCAGCAGGCTCGAAATAGCGTGCGACAGTGAGCCTACATTTTCAGAATGGGCATTTTGCAAGTGACACTTTCGAATGTTTTTTTCTTTATAAGAGAACATGCAGGAGAGCTATGTATCTTTGTATTGATAAAAAGAAACGAACGAGGCGGTGACACTTTCACGTGTTCCTGGTAGAAGCAGCAAAGACTGAATGAAATAAGAAATATCGCAAAAAGAGGGAGCACATTTTTTCATGGGCCTGTAATTGAGTTCTCATCTCAAATCCATAGACCATTTTCAGTAATCAACGAAGATCACCAAATTGTTATTCTGGTGCATGGTAAAACATCAACACATCAGTGCATTTCCCTGTATGATTCCATCAGTTGGCACTGGAAGAATCAGAAGTAGTGTAAAAGCAGACAATAGTTTCTTGTTCTATGCAAGTCCCGTAACCTCTTCAGGTCACAGAAAGGTAACCTCGTCAGGTCACAGAAACCATGAGGGCTAATTTGGAAGCAAGGGAAGCCACACCCTAGGATGGAAAACCCCTCCATGATAAACTAAATAATTATTCAAATTATTTCCCCATAGATTTCCCACCCTAGGAAAAGTCAGGGATCCGAAGGGGATTTGAGTTTCCAAATTAGCCCTGAACTGTTATATTTTGTACCAATTACCATTGCCTGATGCTAATTTTAGTTACTGAGGTCATTGCAAAATCACCAAGCCAGAGTCCACAGAAGAGAGCAGTTTCAGAAAGTATCTTATGCATCTGAAAGTTTATGAGAACTCAATTTAATAACCAGCAAACTGCAAACATGTTTTTGTGTAATTGAGGTGTGGTTGGTTTCACATCACAAGATTACAATAAAGATCAGTGTTCATGCAGTGTCCTGCACAAAAGAGCGTTTGGTTCTGTACAAGTTTGCAAGATGCGCCCATGAGAATAACTACCCACTAAGGTTACCATGTATGAGGCAGTGGAAGTGGTGCATGGCCATCTCCACAGACGGAGCGTATCTTCCAACACTGTAAGCCGGCGATTCCAGGCCACGCTGAACCCCCTCACAGAGTGCAATGTCTTCTATCTGCAGGTGAAACATATTATGTCAAGCAACAACATTGAAATGTTTTCCATAATAAAAACAACATTGAAACGTTTTCCCTAATAAAAACAACATTGAAACGTCACACTGTACAACTGGTGAAGATTATTGCAAACACATCTATGCCAAACGCATAAACCTCTTGCTCATGCTGCTGCAGGTCAATGTGAAACGACTTCATGGTTGTGTTTCCCCACATTGCGTGATATGTATCCATGTGTGGTGGATGTTACAATTTTTTTTTTTGTAAAAAAAGGAAATCTATAGGACCATAGTATTAGCAATATCCTCCATAGAGAACATGATGCTATTGCCTACTGCTACCAAGGTATATATTGCTGTTGTTGTTAACCATGTTGATAGGACTATCTTTTTTCTTGAACACGCATGAGAGCTGTGTATCATTATATGGAGAATAAAATGTTGATAGGACTATCGGCTTGAGCATATACGGACTATAAATTTGAGCATATAAGCTCACAAGTCACTACCAAGCATTAGTGTTATGGTTGTTTACCTGTACTTGCTCACTGTCTTTTAGGCTTTTCTCGATAAAACTCTGGTCATCCTGCAAGTCCAATAGGGGAAATTAACTGAGGAAAGTTTTAGGTGGGATCTTTTGATAATAATAGTCCATGTCGATACACTGGCAAGGTAAGGAAGTTTATGTAGACAAATAATTGACCAAAACATTAAGATTTTCTAACACTGACTTTTACTAGTTCACAACTTGAAACTAGCCTATTAAATTACAAGAGTCAAAGGATGCTGCTAGTTGCTATGAAAATGAATGAAGCTCTTAGAAAGCAGTTCCATTTCGTCAAGGACAAGCAAGATATGTTTGTAATAAAAAGATGCTTGTCTTGGCAATTTAAACTACTATCATGGCACACCACCCAAGATTCATGAAATACAGCATATGGTCTTGCATTCATATTATATGCAGTGGACATGATACGCATTGCAGGATCATAAGTTGGTAAATAAGGTTAAGAAAATGGACTCTACCAGTAAAGACTTGTCAAGAAAATAATCAAATACCACCTTGCACCTGGTTGAATCTAATGGGACAGCTAGATTAGTGTCCATCCAAGGACCGTACCTGAAAATTCAGAAGTTATACACATTTTGTAAGCAACTAAGAAATAACATAAAGTGAGAGAAGTAAATATAATAGGTTCTCAATGTTGATTACCTGTTGATCATAAAGTTTGGATAAACAAAGGCATAGAGAGCTTTTGTCCCTAAGCGATCAAAGTCATCTGGTTCTGCTGGTGCACTTTCACATCTTTGAACACTAACTCTTTCATATGTCTGCGAGAAATTCGTAGATGGTACTTAATTATCCACCCTTAAAGAGAACAGCAACTGAAAATGTAAGAGAAAAAATAACGTGGTACTTTACTGTACTAGGATTAGAACTGTGTGAAGGCAATGGAAATCGATAGATTGATATGCAGCTGTCAAACACTGTGACCATGGATACAAACTGAAAAACTGGTGCCTTTGACAAAGTACAATCCAAAAATGTAGAAAAAAAATCCAAACAACTCATTTAAATATTAGCAGAGCCAAGCTCCTCAATTTGCAACAGGTCACTTCAATATATTATCAATGAAATGCCTTCAGAATAGGGATTTACGGACAATACAAGTGTTTCATAGGATTGAAGCTGCAGACCGGATGCAAGAGCCCCATGTGCATATGGAACATGATATCCACCATCTAGGTAATTGTCACAAAAGACCTGCATAAGAAATATTGAATAGTTATAACATGTTTAAGGGAAACTCATTGCATTTGAGAGACATGTGATCAAAACGTTAGCCATGAACAGTTCATCAATAATGAACCTTCCAGTTACAGTTGATAATATATTCTCGCCTGCAAATATGCGGCAGTGAAGTGTCAATTCCATTTGTACCCAACAGATCTGAAGCACTACCCAACCATTCATTTCCAACCGCATCATAAACATTATCTTCAGTGGACTCATCATCAAATCTGACCAACACAAAAGGTCC